GATTGATGTCGGTCCTGTTCCAGAATACAAATATGAAATTCCATTATTGCGCGTCCCATCTGGCAGAATAAGTAAGTCCTCGCCAGTATGTAGAAATGCGAATACTTCCTTGTACAATATATAATATTTAGCTATATATTTCAATGAAATCTATGCTATTCGTATCATTATTTCTGCATATGTTTGAGATGATATAAGCATTTTCCAATTGGGAGATTTTGTACGACGATAAATTCAGGAGGAGTTTGATTAACAGGGAAGAGGAGGTCTGCGAACCGCAAGGATAAATAAACATATCTTTGTATAAAAATTTAAAAAAATATATCTTTTCTGAATAACTTTAAGAAATTATAATAAATTTTGTAAGTAGAAGTAAGGTGCCAAATAGGGTCTATCAAGGCAGTAGTAATGCAACTTAAGTAAGGTGCTCCTTCATAATTTTATTAAGCATTATGATTTATGTTTGGAATATTGTATATTATTGTTCATCAAGAATCACAAAATATCGTTTCAAAATATATCATTCCCCAGCAAGCAAACTTAAAGAGAGCTTATAAATTATTACTACACGCACAGATAGTCAATCCTCAACATCGTTCGCAAACTTTTCTCCTCATTCTCCTGGCAATTTTATCGATACAGTATCGTCTCGATGGCTGCGAGATTAACTTGTATATTACAAGTTTCAAAAAGAAATTGTACATGCTTTCTACCTTTTCATATAATTTTTATTTTCTCCAATCGCTCCCGGTTGAACTTTTTCTAAAGAGCCGCGCATTAAAAGTGTTCCGAGACGACATTAGCGTGCGCACACATTTTTATTTTTAATCCGTCTTTTATATTTCTACAAATATTTTCAAAGAAGTATTCTGATCCGCAGAAGATGGAATGAATTTCCATAATGCGCCCTTTTCCATGAATTCGATACAATATCGACGACGGAGATGGAAATTTAAAGACGAATAAACGAAGACTTTGTAATAGAAATATTAATATTTAATTATCAATTTTATTGAGCAGATTTCTTTGAACGCTTACATTTTTAAAGGGTTGGTTATATTTTATGAATGCAAATTATTTTATAGAATTCAAAGCCTTTTGAACACGTTATTTTTCTCATAGAGTATGATAACGTCGATATCATATTAAGACAAATGTACTCATTTATATAAATACATCAAGAACATATTTCAAATTAAGATTATATTATTTTTTGTTTTCATCCTAATAAAAATAGTAAGGTATGGCGAGGCACAATTGCCAATTGTTTTACCCATCTCCATGAGTCCTTGATCAGGAGACCCAGTTTGCATATGACACAGATCTCCTGGAACTTGGCGATTTGGAGTGTTTGAAGATTATGATTAGGCCGTAAAGTGGCTCGCGGACACCTCGGCCGAACCGCAATTTGAATACAGCTCTAGGTCTAGCGCAGAGACGAGCCAACGCGCGGACTCTATCGAGGCACGAATAAATAGTGGAACGACGCGTGGTCGGAATTATTAAGCTAGTTTATTAAAGTAATCTGCACTCTAAGTACAGATGTTGGGAAACTTAAGGTAAAAGATAATCTTTAGGATGGAAAATTGAACTAAGATAGTATTTTTGAAAATATTAAGCAGATATGTCATGACCGAATTAGGATCTAATTCTAATTATTACATATGTTTATAGAAGTTTATGTGTTTATGGTATTACAGGTGTTACAGGTATGCACTTTTTAATTATAATTTTATCAACATGAGTATTTTTAGAAAACTACATATTTTTGGAAAAAGTATTATGCAAGAATATATATATTAATTAACTACTAAATCATATATATATATATATATATATATATATATATATATTAATTGTTTAATATGAACAAAACAGCACTCAGATTTGTTTAACACAACTTTATTTTATGATTACAGACGTTTCGAGACCATGGTGTGTCTCATCTTCAGTGTAATTTCAAAAACAGTTACTTATATACTACACATTCTTTAATAATTTATTTAAATTTCATTTAATTTTTGGTATACAAAAAACACCAACTATTCCTTGCAATGCTTGACACAGTACTCTGAGTGCTGTTTTGTTCATATTAAACAATTAATATTCGTTCCACTCATATCATAAAATTCTATATATATATATATATATATATATTATATATATATATATATATATATGCCAGGAGCTTCTACGATTAAATCAAATAGAATCAATTGGTTCATATAATAACGAAAAAAATATGTATTTCGATAATAGCAAGAATTCATATATTTTGGATAAATGGGTAGCCCCATCTTATTCAGGGTTTCCCTTCCTATACAACATCCAAGAATCGATTCATTTGCTTCAGGTTTATGTTTGGACTAAATGCTCAAATAATATTTAAATAATAAATAATAACATTAAAAAATTAAGAAAAAACTTTAGTAAATTGCCAATTAAAATAGTGCACTAAAGATTCCACATAAAATAATATACATTTGTGAAACGAATATTAGGCAGTTCCTTTTGCATTTTTTTTCATTTATCAGCTTTTTTGGGTCATATGAATTTCTGATTTATTCGCAGCTATATTTATTTATTTCAAAAATCATGTTTGCAAACACATCATAGTTTTAATTAAAATCTATGTTTACAAACAAACATTTTTTCCGCTTCTTTAAATATCATTATCTGAAAAAAATTAATTACCGCGAGGCCAAAGATCACTTTATAACATGATATTGTTTAGAGGATTTTAATAACATTTATATGTATTGTTTATAGCAAATGAAATCCAATGTAAAATGAAGAAAGTGGGAATAAACTATCGAACTACTATTGAAAATTTCATCAAAATTATATAACAGGCAATGATTTAGCAGAAGTTCTTATTTGCTTAATCTTTATTTGTTTAATAAATCAACAAACGCAATTTTCTACCAGAAGCTGACGGTTATTGATATAATTTTTTATAGTCTGGTGATAACATTTTTTATATATAATGAATTGCATCGGTTTGTATTAAACTGATAAATCAATGAATATTTGCAGTTAGCACTCAAGTCGAGTATTGTCTTTAATAACAAAAAATAACTATTGTACTTTTATATCAGTAATTGATTTGTTAATGGGATTTTGATTGTAATATTAATACTAACCACGATGATAAAGGACTAAAATTATATTAGAATATTGTTCAATATTTGATGATTGGTCTTGCAATATAAACTCTCCGAAATCCAAAATTGGATATAATATTGAGAAAATAGATCTGAAAACTATCTGTTGCTCACAAGTTGTGTCTATTAGAGCTCCTTCTTTCCTAAATCAATGCATCTGTTATCAGTACCAATAACTCGATAGATAGATAGTAGTAATATCTTCGTACAAAAGTAAACCAAATATAAAATTTCGACAACAGAATTTATTTGTTTGCATTCGGTTTCGTAGATGATAATAGAGAAATCGTTCCCAACCACTGTCCACTTACGTTCCCGGCTTATGAGTTAACTTAATAGGCAGATACAGGCTGCTGACGGTCGCGTGTCCAAAAAAATACAAATGGACAAAATGAGGATTCTGTAAATTCATTTTCAAAAATAGATTTTCAAAAAAGGATAAAGGACAAATATATGATGTGTGCATGTTGATTTTGAGTTGTGTTTTTGGGGAAGTGAACGTGTTAGTTTGTTGTTCGTGTGATTGCATAATAAGCCAACGGTGAGTTGAGGATTTATTTAACGACCAATGATCTAAGCATATTTTTTGTTTGTTTGTTTAACATCAATTGTTATTAGAAAACAACACAATGATTATCCTTCTAATTGAGATACATATATTTTTTATTACTTCTATTTTATTTAATATTGCAGTAAAGTCCTGGAAGGTTATTCTTTTTTTAAATCGATATTTCAGATCTGAATTTCACGCTTAATATCAGATTGTCCATTTTAAAGTGCATTTTCGTACAAAGTTAAAGTTCTTTATGATGAACATTGTATTTTATCAGGATAAATTTCAAAGTTCAGAGACGAAAATTGTTCCCATTTACCGCCTTTTCGTCAAATCCTCCAAAATTTTCGGTATTTTTTTAATTAAAATTAAATCAATATGAATACGTAGTAGTAAACAATAAAGTTTTTTTTATAAAGGTATAAGTATAAGGTATAAGTAAATTACAAATTACAAATATTGACGATTATTAATATGAAAGTAATTACATATGTAATTTGAAAAAATAAATAAGTTTCTAACAACCACAGTTATATTTAAATTTGGTTTAATTTTCTCACAAATATGACCTACTCATTGCTTATAATTTTTGTGTTTTTTATATATTTTTTGTTTTTTATTTACTGAAAAAGCGTCTACCTAATACTCGAAACATGTGGAATGCTTATTGAAATTTGTGTCTAAAATTTTAAGATCAATTCTTATCTTTTATCAAGACTTTATTTTTTTTTTTAATAATTTTTAGCTATTTTAATTACTAATTTTCTTATATATATTTATTTGTTCACGCTCTTCTGTTATTTTTTTATATGGATATACAGATATTTTTTTATATATTATTATACTCAGTAATTCTTGGTATTGTTTACAATCATTTTTATTTTTAAGTGTCCAAAATAATTATGTAAAGAGCATAAATTCTTCTATACGACATTTTCTTCATTTTGCCCGTAATTTGTATCAATAAGACCACAAAACAAACTAAAATTTCGCGCCGTCTTTTAATAATTCATATGTACACCTTTTTGATTAATACAACAAGCCTTATCATTTTTCACAGACACTAAGAAGCTGATATCAACAATAGACCATCGACTTCTATTGCTTTTCTTATCAAAAAATCAGTGATATCTTATTTAATATTACGAGATGTGTGTTTTAATATTAAAAAACATTTGTTAATGCCAACAATCAGATAGGACGTCCTCGTCTTCGGCTGATGACGGACGCAGTATCATAATTAGAACAAATATAAAATAGATTTTTTGTAATATAAAATATATTTTGGAATAAAGTATGGTGTGAAAATTTTTATCGAATTGTAATAAATTATTTGTAAAAATGAACAACGAGAAAAAGGAAGAAGCTTTAAATGGTGTGCAAGATGATAAGACGAATCATGATGATGATTTTGAAGAAAGATACAAACAGATGGAGATTACCGAAGAGACTTCTTGTGGGATGGGGTTTCTTCATGGACCATTTTTACAAAGGTAAAATAATTAATTAATTTTTTAAGACATCTCACCTTGATGCACCAGTCGAGGTGTGAATAATATATATTATTATTATTATTAGGTTTGCAAATAAAAAAGCCTACGTAGTTCTGTATGGAGTTGTCGGTTGCATATATTCAGCAACTTATGCATATTTTAATGGAACCATCACGACACTTGAAAAACGGTTTAAAATTCCTAGCAAAACAACAGGTATAACTTTATTAATAAAATTAAAGATTGAATTTGCGATATTGTATTAAGTAGATTTCTTCTATTAATTTCCAGGTATAATAACAGTCGGTAACGATATTAGTGCCTTATTTGCTTCTATGATCGTGAGCTATTATGCTGGAAGAGGACACAGACCTCGATGGATTGCCCTAGGGCTTTATTCCGTGGTATTATTCTGCCTTCTGACGGCTCTGCCTCATTTGCTGTACGGCCCTGGACAAGATGCCCTTCGACTCACCACCGAATATGGAGCTGTCTACGATCAAAATGCCACCATTGAAGTTCTTAATAAACAGAAGAGGAAAACTTTGTGCCACACTGATGGTAAACAGACACAAATCCTAGATCAGTTGATACAACTGTAATATTTATCTATGTTTCATGTCCATGGTTTCTAAGATCTGAAACCCACAATGTCCTTACCTATTTTTATTCATTATTATTTATAAAATAGGCGAAGGAGTTGAATGCGAAACAGAAGAAGGAGCATCGCACCTCAAATAATACTATTTGCTGCCCAATTAATTTCTGGAGTCGGTGGATCTTTATATACTACACTTTAGGTGTTCCTATATGGACGATAACACCAAAAAAATCTAAAACACCAGCACTGATAAGTAAGACAACATGTATATACATTATCCAAATTCCATCCTGCTTATAACACTATCTTGTTATTTTATCTAGGTTTTTCTTATTTTCTTCGTATGCTCGGACCTGCAACCGGTTATGCCTTGGCTAGGTCTGTCTAAAGTTCTACATTTCGCCAACGTTGACGCCAACAATTGATATAATGATCCTAGATGGGTTAGGAGCATGGTGGTTAGGT